TTTTTTTAAATATCTTTTTTAGATCAAAAGATATTGGCTTTTAAACTTTGTGTAGTCTTTAAGTGTCACGCACTGTAGTATATAATTTTTCGGCAAAATCAACAAAAACTTGATTTTCAAGTTTCAATTTACGGTATTGGGCATTAAATACAAATTTTATTTTTAGCAAATATATAAATCTAACAGCCTTTGTGGTAACTTACAGTATCATGAAGATTAAAGTCAGATTAGTAAAAATAAATTTTGTAATTAAGGCATAATACTGTAAATCGATTCAACGAGCACAAGAACTCATTTCTATTGCGTTTATAACTGAAATTACGATTTTGATTTATTTAGAATAGAAATATTAAAAACGTAGTTTTAGCATTTTCCGCCCCTAAAAAACTTTGCCCATTAAATTTTGGCAGTTAATAACTCTATGTTCACACTAGATCTAGATTGGAAATTATAATATTAAGCATTTTTAATAAAGTTTTATATATAAATATATATAGTACTATATTATACTGTATATACTGATATATGTTATACAGTATATATATATAATATATAAACATACTGTATATATATAGTAATATATACTTTATAATAAATTTACTACAGTATTTCAGTAATGCCAAGTTTTGTTGATTATTTGTTATGAGATTTTTTGTGATGATAAAAAGAGGATAGGTGCGTTCATATTAAATTATTAGATTCCTTTTGATAGCAACTCACCTGCCCACCTATACTATATATCAATCAAAATTTTAATATTAGCAAAAAGTTAGCTATAACACAGTATATTAAAAAATTTTTCAGCAAATATGTTATACACTTATTAAATTTTTATTGCTATATAATTATACTGTATTAAATTATTAAAAAATTTAAATATCTTTTTTAGATAACGGCTTTAATTTTATAAAAATTTTTGAAAAATCGCAAATATAGTTACAAAACTCGACCGGGTTATGAAAAACCGATTAATTAAATTTGTATGGCCTAACATAAAATTAATTTTATTATTTTATAATTCTTATTTTCAAATATATATTATGAAAAAAATTTTTACTTTAATACTTATTTGATAGACAAATAATTTTTATTTTTATAAAATCGAATTCTATGAATCGTTATAATATTGATATAGTTACTATTAAAAAAAATCAACATTAGCCCCTTGATCTTGATTTTTTTTTTAGTCTTTTTTCTTGCTCTCTCATTTCTTGTTCACGTTCTGCTTTTCTTTTTAGCCTTTTCTCTTGCTCTCTAATCTCTTGCTCACGTTCTGCTCTTTTTTTTTGACGTTCTTCTATTTCTTTTTCTCTCTGTGCAGCACGTTCAAGTTTTTTTTGTGCCTGTAACTCACGATCAAAGGAAGCACCTTCCACATAATTATTTGGTCTAATGCCTAAGGCCTTCATCATCTTGTCATTTTCAACAGCTTTTGCTTGGCTAAGTTGGTGTACCTGATGTTCTTGTATACTACGTAGTTTTAAATAAAAGTTAGTAAATTTGCAAATCCGAATATAATAACAAATAAATTATCTATTAAATTATTATATCAAAGCTTACTTTTTATCATCCTTAACAGCATCAACCGCTGAGAGCAAAGCATTACGAAAAGCATTCACTCGATCTTCAATTTCCTCTTCAGTTTGTCTGTTAAAGAAATGGAAATAGTTTTTATTTGAGTATTAAAAAGGATCTATTAAAAATAGCATCCAAGTTTCAACATACCCTGCCTCTTCAAGTTGCTGTCGTAAATCAATACATTTAATCTCCACTTGTCTCTTTTTCTCATGTTTTAGAATATCTTTGTTCGGCTTACGATTCAAGTATGAAGAAGATTTGGCTTTGATTTCGTCCAAAGATTCATATTGAACATTATCTTTACGTGTCTTAATATATGAAAGATTACGGACGACATAACCGTTCGTTCCAGACCCACGAGGTGTTGAAAGACCTACGTTACCGTACATTTTAAATAATTCTAGACACTAAATCTGTATGTTTTTTTGACTTTTAAGAGTGATATACCAGTCAGGGAATACAGTATACACAAATCATTACAGCCAGCATTACAGCGTTATATAGTTTTACCATTTTCCGATCATGTGATGACAACGGCGTAGATCAACTGCCCAAGTAACTTTATTTATATGTTTTAAAGTACTTTTTGAGAATGTGCCGTTTCACTAACAAAATTTATCATTAATAGCTTTAGAAGAACACCTTCATTCACAGTGCAAAAGAATCCAAAAAATAACTGTAGAACGAAGTAACCGGAAACGTTTTTGTTTAAATTATCCGAGTATATTAGGCCATATAAAATTAATTTTTTGGTTCTCATAAAAAATGACCCGGCAACCCGGCTTTTATTTTATTTTCAAAAAAATTTTATATGTAAAAAATATAAAATTTTTTTACCAATATTTAAAAAAGTTCACCCGGCTAAATAAATATAGTAAAAATTTTTTTCAAAATTTTGTTGAATTTGACCCGGCCGGGTAATGAGAACCAATTTAGATTTAATAAACTTTTATTATTGAAATTTAATTACTAGCATGTAACCCGTGGCTAGGGTTGCAACATACTCCGGAGCAACCCGGGTAATACTTCGGAGTGGTTTAAGAATTATAACCCGGAGCAAAGTTATTTCTTATTTCTTATAACCCAGGTTGCGTGGCCTGGAACTTCCAAATTGAGTGACCTGGGTTGCCGGTGTTAACCTGCGTATACCTCCCGGAAACGAGGTCAAACGGTTCAACTAATAACAGGGAGTCACGTGAGCACGGGACCCGGAATGTATAACCAAGGTTTAATTTTTTTTTTTTTTTTTGAACAGTGATCTCATTGGCCATGTCAGTGTTTGTATTTATTAAAGATTATTGTTTCTGTTACATCAAGCCACACATGCACTTTTGGTGTCTAATTTAAGTAGTTCGTATCTAAGCCATTTTATTTAGAGTTCTACACTATCTGCTGTACCTGCAACCTAAACTATGGAGCTACCCATTTAAACCCTCTAATTGTAACTTACTTCCACATATGAAACCTCCAATAAACCAAACTATAGTTAGGCATCTAGGGCTACTTTACTTCTGAGGTAATATCCAGCTAAGCTAGTACATGCCCTACACATGTAGCTATTTAGACTTATTAGTAATTATGTTATAGCTTGACTTATATACTTGGGGTCAGAGCTAACCATTGAACTTCTACAATTACCTGCCCTTGTTTAGTTTACACAATCCCAATACTCATATTCAGATTTCCTTTTTTTTTAGATTTTTTATTGATCTCTCCTTTGCTTCTAGCCAGCAACCCAGAAAAGTTAGTCTGCTTAGGCTTTAAGTGTCTTATGATTACTCTTCTCTTGGTACATACTTTCGGAGCATATGTTTTTTTACTTTGATGTGTCTACCTAGTGCTTCGGCTGATACAGTATGTCCAGATTGGTCACTTAGTTCTCTGATCTTAGTCTCTAGTTTCAAATTTAGTCTTTCTGTAGTACTGTTAAAGATTATGCTACCTCCTAACTTAAGACTTTCTAAATGGGTTTTCAGTTAATCTAGTTCTCTGGATTTATTGCACCAAAGCTCTCATAACTAGATAGTGTAACCAAGATTACAAATTTAATTCTAGATCCAACTGATAATTATAACTATCAACCAGAACACAGACCCAATTTTATTTAAATATTGTTATCTGTGAGATTTAAACTCTAAACCTGTTGCTTGAAAAGGGTGATTACTAAACCACTATACTAAGTTACCATGCCTCTAGAGTAAGGTTTAATGATCCACCACTCAACAGAAGAATGATTATAGTATAACATAACATAGTTTACTATGTAAATCTAATATAGCCTGAATATAAAAAATTTCTATTATTTATTTAAAGAAAACTTTTTTTTGTACTAAGTTAATTAACTTTGTCACTTAATTAAAATTTGTAGAGCTCATCTTTGCAGTTCTAATAGTAGTTAAATCATTTAAATCTAGTTAGAA